TACTACACAGAGCCGTAGTTCACTGAGAAGCTACGCAAACAGCTGTCATTATCGCGAACGATTTCTTCGATTTCATAATCGTACGATTATATCGTCTGAAAGCAGGTGATGGAGATTTACTACTAATCACAGAACCGGCTTTACCGACAAGATGCGCATGACAATCGCATTCGATTAATCGTGCAGCCCTACCACTGGCCATTATTATTATTTATTTTTTATTTTTTTTTGTCAATAACTGTTGCCCTGTGTGTTTGACCTGCTCATTTCATTGTAGTGTCTAGAACACTACCAAAGACTGATATTTCAGGCTTGGCTCTTCTTGAGCTGCTGGTAATCAGTGATTGCTGCTGACTGTATTACAGGGCAGCGCGGATGCGTCCAGAACGTCCTGGCAGAGAGGGTCCCGGACCTGCCATGAGGGGGGTGTCCACAGCCAGCCGTGGCAGAGCCAGCTTCAACAGCCGAGACGGTGGCAGACCTGTGGTCATGGGAGACCAGGTAAAGTACATAACATGCCTCTGACACATTCTTTTTGTTGCCAGTTTTCAAATCTAATGCCATATTACCTCCCTCTTACCACAGCAGCACTTCAGCAGTGGCAGACAGGTGGTGGTGGAGCGGCATGGACGCGATCAGGGCCCCAGGAAAGACTGGCACGGGGCAGCAGGCTCACAAAGCGGAGGATTCACAGATAACCACCGAATGGGGGACAGTCGACCTGGCATGATGGCACCACACTCCAGGTTTGTTTTGATCATGCGTGTACAGCCTGTATTAGAGATCACAATCCTGATTCAAACTCTCACACAGTCTTACGATTGAGCTATGTGTGTTACGGCTGTTTCACATCACAAGAATCAGCGGAGCATGAGCAGCACAAATATTTGTCACTTCTCAGGATAATGAATAAGTGGATCGGACTCAACACTTCCGATGTGAACGCTCTCATTCATTAACATGGGCAGACGTGTGGGACAAAACGTGTGCTGCTCACACTCTGCTGATGCTTGCAGTGTGACACAAGCACTAAACCAAAGACTAGGGACTTCGTTAAACCTTTGAAAGTATGATCATCACAGACATGCAACATTCAAATCTGTGTTTACACTGCCGTTGATCCGGAGACAGCAGCTGCCTTGTAAATGTACAGTGTGAAACAGCTTCACAAACAGTCTTTCCAACTGCACGTTATTTCAGTGTACAAACATTTAAATAACAGAAGTAGTGGGATAAGTTTATAGTTTGGCTGTAGCAATCAAAATAGAGTATCTTACCCTTTAAATGATTTTGACACTCATATGTATTGTAATGATTATTCCGTTATGCCAGGAGGTGGTGACAAGTGACTGTAAAAGTTTAAGAAATGTCACTGAATCATTTATAAGAGATTTATTCATAAATGCTCATCCAATAATGATCGTGATCTTTCAATTTATCAGGACACATATATCAATCTGTTATGTGCCATTTTTGATTTTTTTTATGTACCAACTCTATCCACTAGTGCGGTGTTCAAAATATCGATACGACGATGTATCGTCACAGAGATTTGACGATACGAGTATCGATACAGCTGGCCCTGTATCGATATTGTGGCACGTGTGCAGCAGTGGACCGCGCTTAATTTGTTAAAAAATTTACAACGTTTAAAATCGAGTAGAAAAGTGCCAGGTTCCTAAAAAAAGAATGACTAGAGCATATATAGGCTACAACAAGGTTTAATCTGGCCGCAGAGGAACACAACTGGGTTGCCTGATATAAAGAGACGTAATCCGCGAAACAGAGCTTCACACTTGCGCAATACGGAAATATCTGCTAAGTGTGCTACTTATCTTTGTCTTTGTCAACTAAAAAGTTTGTTCCTGAATGTCTGAGTGCGGCCGCAACGTGATCTGTGTGTGAGACTGCACTTAACATCAAACTGCTTCTTTGACGTGCATGTTCGGCTAGTCGCTTTGAACTCGTGCATCTTCGGAAGCGGAGCTGCGTGGAAAGTTACAAAAAATGTTGTGCACACTGC